GCTTAACCAACTGAGCCACCCAGGCGCCCAAACACTGTGATTTTTTAAAAGAGCAAATTGCAATTTTCCTAAATATCAAGAGGGCAAGAAATGAGAAACAGCCATGTGGTTTCACAAACTCTCTATTTAGAGGCTAGCTGGAAAGAGAAATTTGTACCACATACTGAGGGAAGGACTAATAAGGCTGTTCCTTAGGCCTAGTAAGGAAGGAATATAAACAACAACTTGTACCACATATTGAGGGAAGGACTAAGGCTGTTCCTCAGGCCTAGTAAGGAAGGAATATAAACAACAGTAAGATAGGAAGATCATAAAAAGAGTAAGGAAAAAAACATGCATACAGTGGACATGTAAGGACTCAATGATATTTACTTGTAAGAGAGAAGGAGGGGAATTACAACAGGACAAATCAAGAGCAGGTCTGCCAACAAAATTTCCCAAAGAGCAAAGTAGATTATCAGTATCCACTCCGGCATCAATTCTGTCATCACTCCCATCCATCAATATTTCCTTACCCTTGTATTGGTACCAATCACTAACAAGAAATCAGGGCATCTTATCCCTTTGGAAGGGATATCCCACTTGGAAGCCCAGGGGAACAGTGGCTCCTGAGGTCTGCCAAGTCCAAACACCAGAGCTAGGCTTCCATGAAGTAGTTTTGGGCCAAATAATAAGTAAGTTTTAAAGTGCTCCTTTGCCTAGCTTTGTCCCGCAAGTATCTCCCTGGTGATCTTGTTGATGGAGGATTTGGCTACATAGGGTCCTGGTTATTTCCCTCTCTTTTCACAGAGAAGACATGACTCACAATACTGACGCCATGATAATATAAATGCACTCTCAGAAGAGAGTCACCGTATCCAACTGTTTTTAAAGGAAGAAAGAGAAAACATCAGAAGAATGAAATTTCAAGGAATAACATCCAACTGATATTGGCTGGGTCTGGAACAGTGAAATCACTAGTTAACTAAGCAGGCCACAAAACAAAAGGAACCTGGGTACCTCAGGTCAGTGTACCTGGTGGGCCACTGACGAAGCAGTAGTCTCTTCATTCAAAAAGAATTTCACAGTTGGAAATTCCTTCTGAATGAGTAGTACTTGGCACCAAAAAGTGACACATGTTTACAGAAAATGCTCACCACCCCAGGTCACTACCTCATCAGCAGTGAAGAGACAAGGTGATCCATTTGCAGTCACTTCCTGAAATCACCTCCAGCTTACTTCAGGATGTCAGTAAGGCATGCTCACCAGACCCTAGCACAGTGTGTCCACAGAACATCCTCTTTTAGTCATCTTCTGGCATTTCTTCTAGTTTTTCAAGGGGACAGTACCAGAAACTTCTTCCTGATTAAAAAAAGCCCATAACCTAGTCGGCCTAGCTAGGTCAACTGTTTCCATGTCAGAGTATAGATAAAACTCAATTTGGCTGGGGGCGCCTGGGTGGCTCAGTTGGTTAAGCGACTGCCTTCGGCTCAGGTCA